CCAGGTTCTTCGAGACTGCTACATTGACAGAGGTCCATCAGTAGCTATTAGCCACAAGATATATATATATGGGCTCTGGGGCAAGTGATGCTCTGTCTTCTTGGTGCTTGGGGGGGGGTCAACAGTGGGAGGGCTTCTAATTGTCCTGGCCCCACTGGTGGACCTCCAGATGGCACCTGGTATTTCTGGCCACTGTGTGATACAGAATGTTGGGCTGGATGGGCCTTTGGCCTGATCCAACATTGGCATCTCTTATGTTCTTATGTTCTTATGACAGTTGTCTAGCAATACACTCTTAATTTCAATGCACAGCAAGCAGGCAAGCTTAGTATGATTTTTAGAGTTAAAAAGATAATCTATGTGAAATAGTTCTGCCGCATTGTCACTTCTGCTTTTCTGCTGAAGGCAATCTTTTGCAAGGGTCTTCCGCATCTACTAAGTGGAGATGTTTGTGCAAGCTAGTTCTTGCTAGTGTCTGACTTCCCCATTTCCAACTCCCCTTTAGCTCAGCTTCTCATTAAGCCTTAATCATTAATTGATTTCCAGCAATGCAATTTTTTTTTAAAGCAAGGTTCTTTTAAAATCAGAAGCCCCTTATATTATTGCATTTCTTACATGGTGATCCCCAAACACTTAAACCACTGAGTTCATGCAGGGGCGGCACAAGCCACGCAGCACCATGGCCCTTGACATGCCAGGCCTCACCTGGAGGCTGGCAGCCCTACACTGAGGGGGCAGGGGATCTTGGGGGACCCCGGAGTCAATGGCTGGGAGGAGAGCCAATGCAGTGGTTGGACTCAATGTTTGTGGAAGGGGGGTAGGGTTTTGGGGGTATGCCTACTGGACATACTGGCATACAGGTACGACAAATGACTTGCATGGTTTCCATTGCAATACCTCACAACTGCATCTCTACACATGGAAGTGATGATGAATGCAGAATGGATTTGGAATGACAGTCTCTGGGGACTGATTGCTCTGGAACAGGAATGGCAGAGCCCAGAGTGGAATGAAGGTCATGCCAGTCCAAGTCCACCTCCGCTCCTTCAAGGAAGGAATTGGGGGATATGAGGGTGCTGCTGCATGCCCCCACATCTGAGCCCACCCTGGTGGCCCCCTCTCCTGCTCTGCCACTGGCAGGGGTGGTGCAGGAGTTACCTTGATAATGGACAGCTCAAACCCCTTCCCCACCTTTAAGGGGTTGGGGGGGCTCCTGGAAATGTGCAGAACTCCTGTGGCCTGCCCTTCTCTGCCCCCTGCCTGAGATGGATGCTGGACACCACTCCCTTCCCATATGGCCCCTGATTGGTTCTGGCAGCCCTGTCCATCATAGTTCCACCACCTCCATGCAATGCCTCCACTGACCGCTGCTGCGTGGTTGCTATAATAATAATAATATCTTTCGATTTATTAATCGCTCGATCCTGCAGAGCTGCTGGTTCTGAGCAATTTACGTTACACAAGTTCACGAGGGACTAACAATGATTCATAGGGGGTAAGGGAGGACAACATATAAATCTTTAAATTGCACACGTTTTGTAGCCGACAGGGATTTTGTTCAGCTGTAGGCTTCAGATGTATTCCGGACGGCATTCTCTTGGCTTGGCTTGATGATATCAGTTCATCCAGGACTGCTTTTGAGTCGCAGCGCCGCACTGCCACCGCCTGGCTGGATTGGCCCATCGCAGGCTTCTTAATGTCGAAGAGAACTTTTCAGGCTTCCGAGCTTCCAAGCTGGACATTCCGTTTGCCGGCTAACACCTCCCCCCACTGAGGGGTTTAGTGTGCCCACCCTCTCTAAGGAGTGGTACCCATTTTATCTACTCACCGAAGCTTTCGAACTGCTGGGTGGACGGTGAAGCTACCCCATTACGAACAGAAAGCACTGCAAATTTCCAGAACATTCGCATATTAGCACAGGTCTGCCGGGTGTGAAAATACGTACCTACTTCAGAATATCCCTTCCAACATAACCCTTGACCAGTCTTATATATATTTCTCATTTGACTTGGGGTTAAATACCAAAAATTCAGATGTTAGATTTAAGGCCAAAGGCAAAAGACCGCTTTCCCCTCCAGATCACCTGTTTTATTTCCTCTCTCAGCTGACGTTGGCCAATCAGAGAGTCAATAGAGCAGCCAATCACATAAACTCTTCTCTCCAGGAAAGATTAACTCTTGAACTCCGTCACTCCTTTCCAGATGAATTCTGTAAAATATATATCCACTTATTAACAGATCCAATTCTGGAAACATGAAATCAGGTACTTCCCCAAGGACTGATTCCCCAAACAGGGTCTGACGCGAACATCCATAAAAAGAATAGATGTCACTCACCCAAAATCATACAGATCGATGTCATTATTAAATCAAGATGCCAAGATATGTATAGCTATAATAACAAATCATTGAAATAAATCCATCACATATTATATACATCCAGAGCAATTGGGCTTTATGCCAGATAGAAGCATTACTGACAGCATAAGAAAGACCCTTAATATTATAAATTATTTCAAACTTAATAATATAGAAACCATCATTCTTGTTCTAGATGTAGGAAAAGCATTTGGTAGGTTAAATATTATTTATAAACCCTTCTTTTTCAAATGGGCTTCAGAATTTTTTTTGCAAGCCATTCAATTATTGTATGCAAAACCTAAAGCTAAAATTAGAATTTATGGTCTGAAATCTAAAGAACTTTTACTGCCTAGAGTCCTCTACCCCCATTACTTTTTGCCATTGCTATAGAACCTTTAGTGGAATACATCAGACACAATGTACTTATTAAGGGCATTCCTATATTATTTCGGCTTGCATGACCAAAAGTCTTAAGCACACTTGTACACACTTATAAAAGTACCATCCATAATAATCAGAACCTATTTAAAACATTACTCAGTCAGAAACAATAAGGTGCATTGTCCAAATATGGGTGTATTACACTCGGTTGAATCGTCAGACAAGATAAATCCTCAAGCAGGTAAACACAGCATAAAATCAGAAGGGTTTGAACTTTCCCCTCCTTTTCCCTTTTTTTTGTTTGCCACCAGGACCAGAAACATGGCTACTGCTTTGGTAACCAAATTATCAACTTTGTCAGATAAGAGAACAGAAATTGACCAGGGAAGGGAGGGAAGCTTTTCTTTTATCAATATAGGTATAATATACTTCTGCCTCTCCATATTCCAGTTGAGGCAAGCTAGCAATATATGATCCATCATCTCCACCCTACCTTGATTACAATCGCATGTCCATTCGGAGAACGGGATGCCATGAAAGCGGCCAGAAACTATATTCGACGGGAACGTGTTCAGTCTAGCCATTGTGAAGGCTCTACGAAGTACTGGACTTTTGAGAGTGTAACAGTAAGTAGGGATCACAACCGGAGGTGGAAGATCGAGGGATAGGCCCGAGCAGGTTCGCCGAGCTCTGCAAAGTGTACTGTTGAAGTCGAGTTCCCTTAATTTTGTTTTTATGAGTTTAAAGACCTCCTTTTGCTGTAAGGAGGTAGTACCAATGTTCAAGGATTCTAATTTGGATTCAATTAGCTTAGTTCTATTGCTTGTATAGGTGTCTCTCTGAATCAAGTGAGTGAAGCCTGGTCCACTAGGGACAGCCCCTCGACTTTCTTTATTGATTAACAGTTTAAATGCTAACTGCCAAGCTCTTCTCTCAATTGATGGCTGTGCAAATTCTACCCTAAGGGCCATACCTGCCACGCATCTCGGCACTGCCGCGATGTCTCTAAGGAACATGTGAAGAGGGGAGTCTAATTTTTCCGAAACACCTTCTATCCACACTCCACAGCCATATAGGAGTTGCGAGACAACTTTAGTGTTAAAGATCCCAATAGCTGCCAGAATATGTTTGGCCCCTTTTGAGCAGAAGAATTTTTTGATTACTCTATATGTAAGGCTTGCGGCCATCAATGCCGCCTTAACATGTGGGGTCCAAGATAAATTATAGCAAAAGGTGATTCCAAGGTATCTGTAGGAGGAGACTTTTTCGAGTACCCCCCCCCTTCACTTTTAGAGATTTGGCACCAGTGTAGAAGGATTGTGAAAACCTCAGGACCTTAGATTTAGAATAGTTCACTACTAGTTCCTCTTTGTTACAGTAGGTAACATACGCGTTAATTAGGGATTTTAACCCCACCTCTGTTCTAGAAATGAGAAGAGCATCGTCCGCGTACAACAGAATTGAGATGGGAAACAATGTACTTATTAAGGGCATTGCTATAGAGAGAGAAAAAGAGTATAAAGTCAGCCCTTTTGCAGATGACATGGTGATTTATGCAACTGATCCTAGTAACTCTATTACGGTTTTGGAAGATTTTGCTTGATACTTGGAGAATCTTTTGCCAACATTTAGAGAGTGTAGACTGTCCCAGTAAAAATTAAGAGTAGTGTTTAGATTTTAAGGTCAACTGCATGACATTCATTTCCCTATTATGGATAGCATTTGACACATCCTGATTGTTGTTTCTGATCTACATTCTTTGAGCGCAAGTACTGAGGAAGATCCCATCTGAAATGAGCAACTTGAACCGGGGCTTGCACAAAGTGTGTGTTTGAACACGTCATTAAGATTTTTCAATTTGAAAAATGTAGCCCTTATGAACTAAAATTTCAGTCTCTCTCTTTCCAGTGTGAAATGCTACATGGAGAAGAGTCACATGCAGAAGACTTGTAACTTTGTTTCTCTTTCTTCCCTCACCCCTGTATACCCTAAAAACCTAATAAAATGAACTATAAAAAATGATTTTTCAATCTGAATTAGAGCAATTTATACATGATTTGTTTTGCTTTCCTGAGTTGAGGTTGTTTTGAGATTATTGTAATTGTTGTATAAGTTGTTAATTGAATGCTTTATCAAAATGAGTAACACAATTTTCATTATTAAAATACAGATTTTTATTGTATAGCATTGTAAATTACAGAAAGTTCAAATGTTATTATACAGCAGGTGGTGAATTTGTTCCCTCTGCTATAAAGGTATATAATGCTAAAGTAACAAATCAGTACTTATATGGTGCGGAAATTTGGACAGACATCTCAGAGAGAATGGATTCTATTCAATATGATTTTTTTCAGGCATACATTGGCTAACCCTAGATGTGTTTTTGGGTATAGCGCTAAGAGCTAAATTGGGTGAAAAACTGATGGAGGTTAGGGCTTGGATTAAAGCACTCCTTTTGAAAGTTAAGACCTTAAAATATGAGGGAGGGTCTATCCTTCTTGGACTTTTATAAGTAGACACACATAATAGCCAATGGGATCAAGTACCGGGAAAGAAAATGAAATGTCTAGGTATAACAAACAGTATGGTAAAGATAATCATGCTCCCTCTAAGCTGTGGAGACTTGTCAGCAAAAATTCTACTTTGTGAGCTACTGGCATTAAAGTTGTGAGCGAGCGATTTGGCGACTGCATAAATTAGTTTGCTCTGGAGCCATCCTTCCTGAGCTAAGACAAAAATGTGTGAGCTGGAGGCTAAAAAAAACTATGAGCTAGCTCACACTAACTCAGCTTAGAGGGAACACCGATGGAAACCAAAGAAATAATTAGGCTAATTAAATCACGCATTAAGAAATTGAATATTAATAGCATATAGGGCCCGCAGGTGTGCTCGGTGTCTTATTTAGGAATTGCCCTTCTGATGTGACTGCCAAAGTACTTTTATCCGTTGACAAACCAAAGTTCAGAAGAACTTTTGCTTTGGCCAGAATGAATTCTCTTCCTTCTCAGAGCCCAACAAGCAGGGGTCACATTCGTTTAACCACTGCACACCCCCCCCCCATTTGTGTAGAAAAGACTAGGCTCATGACACCCAACAAGGCCTGTGGGTGAAGGCAGCTGAAACACCCCTCTTCCCTGCCTGGTTCCCTGCTGTCCGTCACCTCAGGCCTTCTTCTCTCAGCCAAGCTGGAAGTGAGCCCAGCTAGGAGAAAAGTGCTTGGACTGATGGATCAGGCACTTCTTCGGCCTCCTTCCACCCTATGAATGGGGCAGGGATTCACTGAACAAACGGGAACCTTGGTTGCTCTCTTCAGCCATGTGGCTTTTGACCCTTTCTTATCCCTGAGATAGACAAGGTCAGATAAGCCCGATGTACCGCTAAGAGTTCCAAGCAGTTTGTGTGGAGACATCTTCCCTGTGCCCGGAAGGTCTCGCAATGGGCTCCCCAACCCCAAAGCAAGGCATCCGTGGGCAGGGAGATCTCCGCTGGCTTTTGACGAAACGGCATGCCAATCAAGAGATTGTCTAATGAAGTCCACCGATTCAGAGAGGAAAGTATGCCCAGCGAGATGGATAGTCTTGTGGACTGGGACTAGTGTTGGGGTCTGAAATGGCGTAGGAACCAGAATTGCAGAGGCCTCATGCAGAGATGTGCAAAGGGGACCCTGAATCCGGTCGACACCATAAGTTCTAACAGATGCTGGATGGACCTTGCTGATTGGGTTGGTGTCGACCAAGAGTCGTGCAGGTAGATAAGCCTGCTGATTGACAGTGTGAAGCTTGGTGCCAATAAATTGAAGGACCTGCAATGGTTGTAGGGATGACTTTGTTCTGGGGTGCTCGGAGAAGTTTCTCTTCCCATGTGTCCCTTTCCAGGCACTTTTGCCTCTGCCCAGAAGGTGAAACTGAGGCTCCTCCAAATAATTAAATGACGTGGAGAGAGGACAGCAACTCCCGTAAGGCTGAGTGGAAAAGCACATGTGCAAAGGACCTCAACAATAACGTGGAATGAAATGAACACCAAACAGTAAGACCTTTACAAAAGCACACATTTATAACCACTGTTTGACCAATTAAGTTGCTCAATGTTTATTTTTATGACTGGCTGCTTAGTGAGCAGAGATAACAGGTATGTCGGTGGGAGGGAGGACTCCCATTGGGATGTTTGATAGGGATGTGCATTTCGGAATCCCGAAACGTTTTTCGGCTTTTTTCGGCTTTCGGGATCCCGAAACGTTTTTCGGCTCTTTTCGGCTTTCGGGATCCTGAAATGGCATTCTATCACTTATCCGAAAAGCCAGAAAAAAATCCTGAAAAAAAAGACAGGCTGCTGTTGGGGTGCCCAGGCGGCCACCACCAGCCAGCCAGGAGGTGAGTCGTCCGACCACCTCCAGCACTCCCCTTGCATGTTCCGAGGTAGGGATGGAGCAGGGACGCCAAACATCTCTGACTGAGATGTTTGGTGACG